CCCCCAAACAGACTCCCCCTAGAGTGTATGACGCATGCATGTTTTTAGTCCCCAAGTGCATAACTTTATATTTATCAACATTAAACCTCATTTGCCAAATAGATGACCAATCATACAGTGCATTCAGGTCAGCTTGTAAGTTGGAGACATCCTGTAAGGACTGTATTCCACTACATAACTTGGTGTCATCTGCGAACACAGAAATAGTACTTTTAATCCCCAACTCTATATCATTAAAGAGATTAAACAGTAAGGGGCCCAGCACTGAACACTGGGGGACACGTACATTGAAACAAAATACGTGCAAAGTCTTAAGACTTAATTTTCCTTCCAAAGCTGCTACAGCCTACAGGAGAACCAAATTATAAGCAAAGCATAAATCAACTATAGGGGGTGGAACACTCCAAGTATGCAGCATTGGGCAGAGTATTTATAGTATTTCCGATACAGAACTCTAAATGTTTATTCTAACTTGTATATGTTTGTTGTTGATTTAGATGTTATTATATTTGGATACTATTACCGAAGGAATAAGACAAAGGGTCTTTTTTTTTCAAGTAAATCAATAATTTTAGGCAAGCACACCAGAAGAGAGCAATTTATTAGCTCCTTCCATTTTTCTCATGAGCCATCTCCAGAGTTTCACTTGACCTGAACAAAACAAGCACCAATAAAGCGCTATTGCTTGGCAGCAGAAGCTCTTAAGAGGACAAAACGTCCCACTCTATCAGGAAGAACCACATCTGTTAGCCAGCAGAGCACATAATTAGGTTGGTGATTAAGTGATTAGCCATCTTCTGCCCAGTTTTGTTGAAATAATAAAATAGGTCTTACAAGCTAAATGAACACAGTATACAAACTGCGTAAGAGCTTTTCGATAACTACACACTCTGGTAATCCACTTGAATTGTTCACCATCAGAAGTAGATATAGAAAAACAAATCATTTACCACAGCTCACCTGTTTACAAGAGTGTTCCATTGCATACATAAAACACACTGGTCGCTTTTACTATTGGAAACCGGGTGATATCTCTGTATGACTGCACTGTTACAACAGTTGTTTTACTGGAGAACAAATGCCAAAAAGGACAAAACAGCCACAATCACATATATGAAAGCTACCTTTTGTGCCCACGCCAAGTACTTATTAGGAAGGAATAAAAGGACTTGTTTATATCTATTAACAAATGAAATAAAACAACAAAACAAAACACCCCCCTTGCCCCCTAGCCTAAGATACTTCAGACTCCCTCCCACCCATGAGATTATTCTTCCAGTGTCTTGTGTTAACCTTTCCCTGGTCCCAAATCTTCACTGGTGCTGGAGTCACCATAGACTTGAATGGAGCCATACTCCTATGATATCTAGTAAAGGAGTACACCCCCAATTTAAGACAAAGGCCAAAAGTGTTTCAATGTATTGTTTGAAATTTGAGATGTGCACAGGGGCAATATTATTTTAACTTCAGGCATTGCTCCCTGCGTTGCAAAGAGTTCTGTGGTTCTACTTTGCTGCCCCTTCTCACATTGGAAGATTTTCAGTTGGCCAACTCATTGAAAACAATGCACTCCCTATGTGGATGATCTCTTATCTCAACATTCACTGTAACGCACAGTAACAATATCTGAATTTCATTCTGAATGGCACTGTAACGTACCTTGCAAATCCACCCCAACACACATGCAATGCAGCACACCACAACACACAGATGAGAACCAATTGTGCATTGTATTAAAGTGAGTTAAAAGTTAAAGGTACATGTCTAGATTTTGGTGCATTGTAGTTAGTTGCCAAACTATTTAAAGTGAATAGGCTGCCTTAATGCAATGCATACTAACTTGCAGTACGGAGCACAACAAGAAGGGGGCTGTGGGCCCTTGCACATCTTCTAGGAGGGAAGTGTGGTGCGTTACTGCACACAAAAGTTAAAAAGCAATATCATGCATTGTGTTATGGTAGCCCACTCATTTTAAATAAGCTGACAACACCCTCCAGCAGCTTGAAAATCAAATCTGACCCTTTTTTGAGGATGTAGCACAGCATAAAGCATGGTGGTGTATTACCATGCGTTGTGGTGCTCTGCAATATAGCTCTGATGCCTTCAAAAACAATGGCACTGCAATACACCAAGGATTGTATGCTTTAGTATTGTGCACTTGCATTACTGCAATGCAAAGCTGTGAATCCAGCCTTAAATTTTACATTTTGCAGGCATTTGGGATAACACCTACTTCATATTTGTTACATGTCCCCACTCACATTGCAAAATAAAAAAATGCTGCTTAGAATTTTTAAGTGCTTATTACTTGCCTAAAAATCCAACCTAACCATCCCTATGTAATGTTAAGGAGGGGGCAGTGGGGCGTTATAGTTACTCAAATTAACCCTGTCTGTACAGTGCTGGCAGATTTAATCATCAGTTGCAAATTAGATTTGAACACTACCATAACAAAGGGTTAAAGGTTTGGAGGCATTGTGTGTTAATGAGAGGGAGCTCAGTCTGACCCTCAGTCAGACCATCTTGTCTCACTTTCAAACTGCTCAGAGTAGCTTGGAATCGGCACAAAGGCACCTTCAACAAAAGTATCTCAAAAGTAAGAACTTATTTTTCAAAATAATTTTTAGCTATGCTGTGTGAATAGGAGCACGTAACAAACATATATAGAAGTTTCTCAAATTTGACTGTAAAAGTGGAACTACACTTCAAGGTAAACACTGTAACAGGAACTCAAAATAGGTGCTTATCGAAAATACACTGACGGGGACTTATCAAAACTGGAGCAGACAGGATATGGAGCAGCTGCATATGGCAACCAATGTGTTCAGTTAAGTGTTGAAAATGAAAGAAGCAAACTGTTGAAAGAAGCTGTTTGGTTACTATGGGCAACTGCTCCAGATTCTGTCTGCTCCACTTTTGATACATTCCCTCCCAATATATTTTCCCTTTAAATTTTATTGACAGAATATATAACATGTAAAAAGCCTGCACTAAAAACCCTACTTTGAAGTATGCATTATCATAGTACAATACAAGAAATTGGCAGATATGCATCTGATACAAATAATTGCTTACCCCCACAAAGCAAGTCAAAAAAAAAAAGCCAGTGCTTACTTTTGGCAAAGTTGGCTAAAGAGCATTTTAGGAGACATGGGCTCTTTGCCGGTTGCTTTTATACTGTGCAGAAACAAGACCACTGCAGAAGTGAGTGGCCCAGGATTGGAGAGACTGATCACCAATGGACCCTACAAAGAAAATACATACAAGCACAATAATCAATCACACACATCATCACTTTAAATTATATACAAATAATTTATCATTACCAGCACAAATGTTATAATTACCATATCTTAAAGGAGAACTATGAGATGAGTGATTTCCACTCACCTCATAGTTCTAGCCGACCTGTGACAATGAGACTGTCACAGGTCGGCTCAGTAGATCGGGAGGTGAGCGAACACATACCGCGTTCACTCACCTCTCGATCCTGTCACGGCTCTCTGCCGTGACAGGGGGAGGGGCTGGATTCCCCTCTCCCCGCTCCGATTTGCCAGCGCTGACTGGCGGAACGGACGGGTGAGGGGGCGGGTACAGCTGGCTCTGCCTCTAGATAGGCAGAGCCAGCTGTCACTCACGCAGCTGGGCGGATCCCGTCATCTAAGTCAGGATCCGCTCCGGCTGCGGCGTCTCAGTATACCGCGAGCTGTAGCTCGCGGTATACTGAGCTTAGGGTAACGGGAGGACGCTATTTTTTGTCCTCCCGTTACCCTAAGGAGAACTATGGGGAAAAACACTGACCCCATAGTTCTCCTTTAAATCATAATTGGGAGAATTTAACTCTCTTCTATTAGTTATCTTTATATTGGATATTCAGGTTGTGCTATCTGTTGACTAAGTCCCTGTTTCAAAGCCCACATGTAATAACATATGGGGGGTTTCCTTTTCTCTCATAATCAAAAAAAAGTGAGCACCAAGGGCTGTTGATGAAGATGTCCCAATGGACCGTTGTCTCTCTCTGCAAATAAAACATGATTCATGGGGAAGCTTTATGAGCAATCCATGACAACAGTGCTCAACTACATGTTACAATCAAAGACTACAATTCCTGGTAGCCAATAAGGTCCCAGGGCGCAGGTACCCCCCTTTATTGGCATAGGCAGATTTATTTTTTGCTGGATTCTGAATATAAATTGACCCCAACAAAAACAAGTATGTAAGTTTTCTTACCAAATCTTCTTCAGTTAGGTCAATCTTTAGTTTTGCACCTCTCTCTCTCATTTCAGCCAGAGCCTCAGTTAACAAATGTGTGTGTGTCAGGTTCTGAAAATAGACAATTGGAACAAAATATAGCATTATTTAACAGAAGCAAAAATGGCACAATGACACAACATCTAAAATGCCTGGTTTCCTATACTGAAGATGTTAGTGTTGTTCGGGTGTTAAGGTCTTTATTAGAAACAGACTCCACATCCTACTAGTCCAGTACTTTCGTGGTAGCTAATTATGATAATTTCAGGTAGATAAATGAACACTTTCTTACAGGAGAGGGTACGGTCTTCAGCTTGTTCTAACTGGGTTTTCCAAAGCCTGTTTCTATCACAACAGAGCAGGAACCTTGGAGTAGAAACACAGCATAGGCTGACCCTATTAGCTGCAGAATACACTATGTGATTAACTCTGCAGGAATCCAGGACAAATGTTAAATATGCCCACACAATGTTTTCAAGTGTATCTCTGTAATATCATGCAATAGCTTATTACTCACTGGAAAATTATTTGTGTATGCCACTCATGTTGCACTTGATGATAATTAAAATGAATGACATAGATGATGCATATGACCATGAGCAAACTTGGGTTAAAGCGTGTTGTTTATTTAAAAATATATAAGTATGAGTCTAATTGTTTCCACATACGTGCAGAGCACCTAGGTAATTTTATATTTCTTGTGTGCTAGAACCGCAACTTGACTATTTTTGTGTGTGTTTACACACACACACATATATATATATATATATATACATACATAAAAAAAAAATTAGCAAGGGAATGGAAAGGTGTCATGTGAGGTACTCGAAGAAAGGGATTTTACAGGTACTGTAAGACAAAGATCCTATTATCTTAACCGTACGCCACAGGGCAAAGGAGCATTCCTAGACTACTGGTACATTTACAAGCAAGCCGACTGAGGAGTAGGCAACACAGTAAACAAATGCTAACAGGCATATGTAACAACGTGGGAAATAGGTTCTCACAGAAACAATTGCCGCACAAACGATTGGTATCACAAGCTGGACATTGTTTAGTCCTGAAGGCAAAACATGCTGTAAAGAAACACAGGCTCTTCCAACTCCTCCAAGAGGGATTGATAACTAAGAGAATAGCCGGAAGAACCTTAAGCCTGAAATTGGCATCAGAAGAGGTCTGAACATCCATCTGGTAAAAGTTAACAGGAACAGAGTGTGCCTTAACAAGGATAAGTGGAACCATATCCATTGGACAAGAGGTTTGAATAGAGAGTAGAGGTGCACCAAAATGAATATTTGAAATATATATATATATATATATATATATATATATATATATATATATATTTGTTTGTTTTCTAACTTTACTGTCGGGGCTTCAGTGAAATATCAGGGGGCTAAACAGACTCCTGGTATTTTCCCATTAAAATAAAAAAGAGACACAGAGGACACAGAGCACTTCACTAAGAACCCGATGTTAAACTTTTACTGTAGCTCAGTTGGAAGTATATTCATGCAATGCTATATTGTTTGGTATTCTAGTTGTACAGGGTCAGATCAGAGGAGTCTGCTTCGGGTAGTGAGTACAGCTAAATGGATTTTGGGCTCCATTTACCTGACTTGAGGGTTGTCTATTTTGACCGACTTTTAACACGGGCTTTAAAGATCAGGAATGACTACGCAGCTTGGGAATCATTTGTTTACATTGCTTTATTCTGGCAAATTGCGTAGAATACTGACAAAAACAAATCAGTTGGGTAATGGTTTTTTTTTCCACAGGCAGTAAATAGTTTGATTAATTTAGAGGGATAGGTTGGGAATTTGGGTGGTTTGTGTTTGATATGTAACCGGCCAAGGTAGGAATATTTGAATTAATGGTTTTATAAAGGTTGTTTAGGTTGCTGTGAAAATTGTATGATTTTAATATGTTATATATCATTATGTTACGGAATTTTACGCTGCTTAAGAGTGGTTGAGCTAAACTGTATATTGTTGTATCTTGCATGCAACGACAAAGAAAGCATCTTATCTTATGGGGACCTTCAGAAATGACAAAGAGTGAATCAGATTGTCTAAAAGAAGCTGTAGCTGAGAGGTATATTCACACAGCGCGTACCACATCCTGACAGATGAAGAGGTGAAAGTAATGAGGAAAGCAACCTTGTGAGTAAAGGCAGACAGGGGAGTATCCCTGATGGGTTCAAAAGGCAGCTTCTGAAGGGCAGACAGAAGCAGGCTGAGAACCCACGGGGTCACTGGGAGGCATACAAGGGCAACAATGTAAGCAACACCCTGCACAAAGACTTTCACTAGGGAGTGAGAGGCCAGCATTTTTTGACAAAAATAGCTAGGGCTGAGATTTGACCCTTGATGGTACTCAGCGGCAAATGCTGATTCTTAGTCTGCTTTTGTATGCTCTCTTTACTCATAATACTCCAAGCGTTGAGTTTAATCCAGTACTGACTTCCAAAGACTTAGGATTCAACTGAATCTCTGCAAGGTCTCCACGTTCCATAGGACATTCACTAACAGAGTCAGCAGCAGATCATCCAGGTAACCCAATTTGGGGACCCTGGGAGCGATGAAGAGCTAGGACAGGTGTTAAAGCCTTGGTGAAGACCCGAGGTGCCGTGTACAAGCCAAAGGGAAGGGGAACAAACTGGTAACCGGCATCTTCATGAGGAAGTTACACAGACTAATACTTGAGCCAAAGGCTCCTATGTATATTAACCAACAGGGGGCTTTTGCTGAATATTTGACAACGTGTGTCTGCTAATCCATCTACACAGTAGTGCAGGGCTACAAGTAACAGGTTAAGATACTGGAGAATAGAAGGATTCATCAAAATAGATCCGGAATCCCTAGTAATGTTTTTGGACCAGACTGCTAAAATCTAACAAACAGAGATGGTCGCAACAGCAGGTTGCATTGCTGGACCTGCTAGGAAGAACAATGCCCTAAGGAGGGCTTCTAACCTTTTGTCCGCAGAGTCTTTCATGTCCGGGATATCTTTGAAAGGGACAGGTTTTGTTAATGCAGGAAATGGCAGGGTCCACAACAGGGATTAATCATTTCTTGAGGAACTTTTCCTTGATAGGGCATTGCTGAGCAACCTGTTGTATAGGGTCAAATAATTTTTCTGAGTGAGGCCAATTAACATACAACCCTTTGCTGTAAAAGCAAGTGTACAGGGAAGATGTTTGCAGGCCAAGGCAGTTTCAGTGATCCTAAGCTGGTGATTAGTAACTTAGCTGACGCAGTCTGCTCTAAGTTCAGACACGTGCACACTGCGTCAATAAGGATAGAAATTAATTTTGGAGATTGAACCTTATACAGAAAAGAACCCTCAGAATCAGATGAGGTACCATCCTCTTCCTCAGGAAGAACAGGTGCAGTTAAAGGAAAATCAGAGATAGACTCTGGGGGAAAGCATGAGGGGGCTCTTTTGTGACTCCTGTGGTCTGATGCCTCTAAAAGGGCTGGAAGTCTACCCATGAAAATACATTGTGCCTGAGAATTCCTCCCTGGATAGACAGGAGGAAGGGCATGTGCCCAAGGGAGCTAGGGCATGATTGGGGACAGCAGTCAGGACTATCAGTGGTGGGACACTGTGGGAGAACGATGCTAGACCATTACCTGAGCATGTGGCACCCAGTCCCCAAGACAGTTCTTTTTGTGCCTACGATCTGCCGTGTGTGAGAGATCTTCCCTAAAGTGTACTCATGACCTGTTACAGCACATCAGGAGGGTGTTTCTTCCGTGACAAGTCACTGTAGGCAGAGGTGCACAGAATATCCAAGGATTGCTGTGCCGATTCGTGTATAGCAAGCAGGAGTCAGAGGAGGAGCTGACCATGATGTGCAGGGAAGGAAAATGGCGTGCACATGCACAGTACAGACAAATAGGAAGGTGGCTGCCCAGACGACTTGTCGGCCATGGGTCAAGACCCGCCTGCGGAAATGGGGCCAGAGTGACAGAGAGACTGCAAACTGTGTGTCACAGAATGCGCAAACTACCATTCTACTGGTTGAGATGGCTGAAAGAAGCACAGCAACTGGAGAGCTGCTTGCCCCTGCCAGCACATTAAGAGCTTGCCACCATACTCAAGGGAAATATATTCTTGTCCTAGCTCCTTCAGAGGGGCAACCAGGATTCTTCATGCCCCAGATGGCAAGCACCATGTAATGCTGAAAGTAGTCATAATGTCATAACTGGGGAGATAATAGAGTGCAATGCTCATGCCAAGAGGAGCACGTTCAATGTGAGGCTCCTTATTGGCTTTTTTCCTGACAGCTGTTACTATATAGGAAATCTTGTCCTACCTGCCAGTTAACTGCTCCAATGTCGCACTTTGGCGGTCCTTTGGTGCACCTGCCTCTAACTGAAATTTCGTTTAAACATATAGCCATAGATTTGGTAAGCCCAATGATAAAACCGACCTGTTACTGATACATATTGGGGATCCTCAACTATGCCACCTGATACCTTGAAGCCATTCTCTTGTCCAAAACAAGGATATTGTTACCAGCCAAAGCACCGCGTTTATATTGACGATTACTGCAGACATGGCCAGCTGTTTAGATTAAGAAGCTGTGTACATCTGCCCACCATCCACATACGGATGGTCTGGCTGAGTGTTTCAACAAAACCCCCAAAGCTATTCTTAGGTGGGTAGTACAAAAGCAAGGAAAAAACTGGAACTCCCTTTTTTCGGCACTTTTGTTTGCCATATGGTGGGTTCCTCAAGCCTCCATGGGTCTCCTACCCCTTAAATTGGTATATAGACAAAGACCCCAGGAATGTTTGACCTAATGAAAGAAGAACAGATGAGTTCTGTCCTCACAAGAGTGTTCCAGAGTACATCTCCCAAATGCAAGAAAGGATCACAAATGATGGTAAAAGAACGCTGGCAAAGTGTCCATGAGGCACAATGCTGGGTTAATAATAGGTTGGTAAAGTAAGGCACTTCCAGGTAGGGGAGTTTTTACATGACAAAAGCGATATGTTCTAGATGGCAAGTTTACATCTCTTTTCTTCAGGTTACAGGCTACATAAGTGCAGCAGCAGGGTCATTGAGTTAGAGCGCTGGTAAGGAAGTGGAAGGTAGAAAGAGAGGGGTAGAGTGATGAGAGTGTTGGTGGAAGCTGTTCCTGTTTGATTTGGATACATATCAGGAGGCTACACTGTTGGCTGAGCCCTGTTGTTCTATTGTATTTGTTCTGCTGGGGTTTTCCTAGCTGAAGTAAGAATGTTTCATTTTCCTGTTTCGGAGCTATATTGGTCTCAAAAGGAGCATTAAGTTGTTTTGTGGATGTCTTTTTGTTTGCTGCTGATAAGCCTTCTTAGTTAAATAAAGAACTAACTTGTTATAAAAAGACATTGTCCCACAGTCTCCCATACATAAGAAAAACAGGATTTGTAAATTACCGTAAAGTCCTTTTCTTAGAATTCATTAACATACACAAGGTCAGAAAGATTCTTATGTTGCTACACACAGGGGAACTGGATACTGGCAAATAAAAGCAGTTAATCAGCCAGGATATAACCCCTTATCATTCCCATCATGCTTCAGTTTTGTGCAAAAGCAGAAGTAGGAGTGATTATGAGAAACGTCTTCTAGGGACCCATGTCCCTTAATGAATGCAAAAAAATATATTTTACAGTAAGTAAAAAGTCCTGTTTTCTCATTCATTAAGGGATGCAGGGACAGAAGGATTCTGAGATGTATGCAGTCCAATTGAGGGGTGTGTAACACAGGAAACTAAATGCCAATAGGTAAACTTGAGGCTAGCTGGAGTTAAAAAAAAGGCCACCTGAAGGACCTTACATCCAAAGCTGGCATCAGATAGGGCCAGAAAATCCACCTGCCAAATCATAGTGAAAGACCAGGTGGCAGCCTTGCAAATCTGGCAAACAGATGCTTCAAGCTGAAAAGCCCAAGATGTGTTTATTGATGTACTAGGATGCACCTTGGCTGAAGTGGAACCTTATCCTTTTGTCGATAGGTCTGAATGAATAGCTGCCTAATACACCTAGAAATTGTGGAACAAGAGGCCCCTTCTGAATGACGCGTCAGTGAGTCTTTAGAAGGTAAATTCTAACAGCACGCATAACATCCAAACAGTGGAGAGAAATCTCCTTAGGATGTACTGGAGCAGGACAGAGCGATGGAAGTACAATGTCATGGTTAATGTGAAAAGAAGAAACCATTCTGAAGGGGAAGGAGGCTCTAGGTTTTAAGACAACCTTGTCTCAGTGTAAAATTAAAAAGGGTTCTTTACATGAGGGGGCCACCATTTTAGAAACTCCCCTTGCAGAGGTGAAGGCAATACGGAAAGAAACCTTGTAGTGGAGGGCGGACAGAGGAAAATCTCTGATAGTTTCAAAGAATGGTTTCTGAAGCTGACAGAACCATGTTGAGATCCCATGGAGTCACAGGTAGACATACAGGTGGATGTAAGTGAGCGACAACCTAAACAAAAGCCTTTACCAAGGAACGAGAGGCAAGCAGTCTTTGCCCTTTGATAGTTGTCAAGGAAGGCAACAAAGAAATGTTCTTCCTCCAGGCATATGCATTTTTTGTAGTGCTGTTCTGCAGACCAACATTTCAGCCAATAAATCCTCCACATATGCACAAACAGGAGACTCTTCTGGATGTGAGATGTGAAAAATCCACAAAACCATCAAACACAGTAGTGTAAGGCAATAGATTGGATTTGTAAATGCTCCAAAACTGAATGTTTGGTGAGGATCAATTCAGGTGCTTTCTCAATGCTCCCAGGGTCTGCCCTGGACATGACAACAAAGACCAGTTGCAAAGCAGGCCCTGTTAGGGAGAATAAAGACTTGGAAAGAGCTTCCTAGGTCTTATCAACCACATCCTTAAAATTAGGGCTGCAACTAATGATTATTGTTATAATCGATTAGTTGGCTGATTATTTTTTCGCTTAATAGGATAAAAAATAAATAAATACCACCCTTAATTTAAAATACACAAATGGAGTGTTACAAACAAAGTTTACTTCTAAATAAAACTGCACGCACAATTTTTTGCTGTCGCACCGCTCTGGAATGCATGGGGGAGGAGAGAAGGGGATCCACACCAACTAATCGATAATGAGAATCGTTGACAACAATTCTCATGATAGATTATTTGATTAGTTGGTTGCAGCCCTACCCTAAATATTTGAAGATTTCCAGCAGGAACAGTTAGTATTTTGTTAAGGCAAGAGACAGCAGGATACAGAATGACAAGTGCCCACTTTTCAATAAATTCTCCCTCTATTGGGTATTGCTCAGCATAACACTTGGGGGAAAGTGGGGGGAATATAGCTGGTCAGGAGCAGACCAGTCACTATACTAAACAAATTGCAGTAAGGCGTGTACACACACGCCGGATAAAGCCAGAGAAGACTCCGAGGAGCAGTTAGCGAATTGTGAGCTGGGGAGGCCCATAGGAATGTTCCCCCTCTGCTTATGTTCCGCCATACTGCAAGTCTGATAGTGTGTAAAACCCAATAATTGGTACTCACACACACGTTGCTTAAAGCAGGGGAGGTTATATGGCCAGCTGTCACAGTGTCACTATCAGGCAGTAGCAAGAACTGTCACAGAGATCCTTTCTGTGGAACTCTGTGGCTGTGATTTACCTCAGACAGAGAGGGCAAGAAAGCTAGACTGTATCTGGAGTGGTTCTGCAAGAGCAACTAGGGGGCATGTGGGGCACATTGGTGTGATGCAGTAACAAATTCAAAGTGCGTGTGACACATTTTAGTGATGCAGCACTGTTCCCTTAGAGTGCTTGTGACACATTTTTTTTTTTAAATGTTGCAGCACTAAAATTTTAAGTAAGAATATTATCTCATGCCAGGCTGGGAAACAGGCAAACACACACAGTAGTTGATACCGGTTAAGAGCCAATACAGGGGCCAACTGCTGAGTTCAGACAGTCTTCACCTGAGGGGACATACCCCAAGGGGAGTCTTCAGGGACAGGATACCACCAGTGGCCGCATTACAACCTTGGACCTGTACAGTAACACATTACACTAGATGTCTGGAGACCGACACGAGCAGTACCTAGTGCCCGAGGTTCAAATTACAGGCCAGCACAACCTCCAAGGCAGTGCTGAGTATCACCTGTTCTGGAAAACTGCAAAATGAGCACGCATATCTCTGCAGTTAATTAATCTTGATCGAAGAAAAAACATCATGGTAAAAAAAAAAAACAAGGAATGTTACATAAAATGGATTTGCTTCTCTCTAAGAAGAGAAGGCATTTGTTCTCCTTAGAACACTAACAAAAACTGTGTGTTCAATACTCTTGTGTGCAACAAAATAAGCCATACATCTCAGAATCTTGTCCCTTAAAGTGAAATTAAACCCTCAGATTTTTTAACATAAACCAATACTGTAATGTGTGCTTTACTGTAATCCATGGTTGTTTCCCTTCTCTTTGCTGCTCTTCCTTTTAAATCTGTATCTGTTCTCATGCTGGGAAGACCTTCTGTTTTGCAGCAGACTGCCTTGTCTCTGAAATGGATACATGGTGTCTGTGTGTAGGTTTGCAACCTGAGCCAGCACTACAGGAAGAGGCCCTGAGCTGCAAAGGGAAGTTCTCCCCCAGCATGAGAAGACATGAGGATTTAAAAGGAAGAGCAGCAAAGAGAAGGGAAACTACCATGGATTACAGTAAGGCACACATTACAGTATTGGTTTATGTTAAAAAATCTGAGGGTTTAATGTCACTTTAATTAATTATTAAAGATGTATTTATTTTTTCATAAGTTGAGCCTCTAGTCTGGATGATTTTTGGATACTAATTCTATGGCAGTTATCTTATTCTCAGCGATGCTGACAGGTGCTTCACTGTCCTGCAAATAACATGCTTTTGAGTCATACAATGGTAGTCTACATCAGAAAGGTTTTTGTTTTTTTACAATAAGTTCCCATAAGCATTGAAATAACTAATGCCTTTATAAAAAAAATGTATATATGTTAAAGGGAACTTTCCCTAGAAGAAGAGTAGTTCTGTTTATATAAACATTATGCTTTATGCAGATCATTTCAATTAGTGATATACTGTATGTAAAACACCATACTTGCATGACTGCATTGAAGAAACAGGTGTTTCCCAGGTTTATTATGCCCTTCACAGGGATTGATGTGCTATTCAGGGAGGTCCTCTCTTTAACCTTTTCACTGCTTTCTTCATGAAGGCAAATGACCTTCAATGAACACCCTGGAATTAAAAAGAAGTAATTTTTAATCACTTAAATCTTGCTTCACTATGAAAACAAATCACATCAGCAAAAATGTTGTGTGCTGGCAGCACTGGAGAAAAAAGCACCACTTTCCAACACTTTCTGTTGTATAAGCATACAAATCTATGACTTACTGCAAACTAAGGAACTGTAAAATAAATATGGTCAAGTGCTATTTTCTGTGGATAATTCTAGTAACTGGGATTCAAACTCAGGCAACTCAGTCTTGCCTAAAAGCATCCGATTTGCCCAATCTGACAAATAAGCCATAAATTACGTAGTTTGTTAGACTACATCAATATATTACCTGCATTTCGCCCACTATTGAACCTGCAAAGCTTGCGTATATCAGTAGTTAAAGGAAAACTATGAGGTGAGTGCTTTTCACTCACCTCATAGTTGTAGCCGACCTGTGACAATGAGACTGAGCACTAGAAACCTTGGCACAAATGAGTACAAAATATGTTTGTTTTTTTACACTATTTTTAAAAATAACCCTTGTAGTGGGGCTACCCCCCACACTGCAAGGGTAACTGCTTGTTTTGTCTAGGGGGCAAAAATGTAAACAAAACTCACTCGATCCTAGGGTCCTGCCTGGATGCTAGACCAATCCTCACAGCCTCTTCTACACCGAGCTCTGTCAGCCTAAGGATCCGTGACGTCATCATATGTCTAATAAAGGTCTATTAGACGTAAATACGCCGAGGTACACACCAAAGCCATAGTGGAGGGGTAGGGAGGTAAGCGTTCCCCACCACAGGACCAAGGATCAGGTGAGCATTTCCTCTTTATTTTCACCACTAGAGAAAAATGAGCAGTGCAGGGGTAGCCCCACTGCAAGAGAAAAATATAAATGTTGCCAATGCTGAACCCCCTTTTGAAAATTGATGGTTACTTGGTTGTAATACGACTTTAAAGATTTAAGTACAGTAAACTCCCCATTATCCGGCACTCAAGCAACCGGCAAAAAAAATATGACAAAATAGGTCCTCAATTTTTTTTTTTTACTGGTGGCTTGATACACACTAAAAAAATGTTGGTTGCTTGGTGCACACTAAAAAAAATTATTTGTTTTCATCTTGCTGCTGGCTGGCAGCAGAATGTAAAAAATGGGGAGAATTAGCCAGCCTGCTGTTGGCTACTTCAAATTGCAAGAGCCAGAAGCAAGCTGGCTAATGTACCCGCCCACTGAGCAGAGGAGCAGAACTGAGAGAGAACTTTATCTCTCAGGTCTGCTCTCCGCTCAGTGAGAGATAAATAGCCAGCCGGCTATTGGCTATTTCAAACTGCAATAGCAGGCAGGCTATTGCACCTGCCCACTGAGCCGGAGGGGGGGGGGGGGGGGATTT